CCTAAATTGTCATATTTTTCGGGGGCTTTCGAGATGTTTTAAGTGACGCCCGACTACGCTTATTTTTGGTCGGGAAAATTCCCCTCCCCCTCCCCTCAGGGACGTCGGACACCCCGTCGGGCAAATCCTGGCGCCACCCCTGTATAATAGCAGCATCTGTTTCTACAAAGGCGGACCCGGCTATGTATTACTTCAGGGTTGTAGCTAATGTAAACTAAGTGTGGGGATAAATATTTTGATGGTGGGTGCGTGATAACATTGGTAAGCTCTAGATAACACGAGTGGATTTTAGGGATGGAAAAGTGGGTTAATAAGCCGGGTGGGTGGAAGGCCATGAAATTAGCTTTAGACTGGGTGAAAAACTTCAAAGTTGGGTGGCCCCGCCCATTATAACTACATCCCTGTTACTATAATATGCCTAGGCCTACTGCTGTTTTACCTATTATTTAAACAAATACTCTCCATATAATAATTTCGTTATCTCGTGATTAATGGACAATGATTGAAAAGTTTCGTCTCATAAACTATAAAATAAAAACGATAATTTATTCTGAAAATAGTCTGATATGGACTCCATGCTTAGTCTACACAAGGTGTCCATTACAACTATTATTTTTAACAATAAATTACGATTATTTTTAACAATAAATGTCCCTGTTATTGTCATAATACACTTACAATAAGAGAATATACAATTGCATTATACAGACCCTTTTTTTAATTTTTTGGTCTTGCTAAAGCAAAAAATACTGTATAAAAATGGTATTCAATATTACGAGAGTAAATGAGATATCACAGACTCAGCGAACATTTATTGACTACAGTTACACTCAATAACCTAGGCCGACATATCGAGTTGCAATCACATCTTACCCAGGCTGAAACACGGTTCGCAAGCTGAACACAATTCCATTCGTTCCAACTCTCGCTGGGATTCGCTAGACACGACTTATTCCGCCGTCACGCTTCCTGGATCTGGTAATTGATTATTCATGATATTCAAATATAATGTTAGTCTTTACCGATTGTTACATAGTCAACACTGTTAGGTAGGATTCTGTTTCCTGTGCGGATATTACAATTAAGCGTGCAAACTCATTGACTGTTCTGCGTGATTTACGTTATAAAAAGAAACGAGAATTCTTTTGTGGTCGCTCACTTGTCAAGTAGGCCTAGCCTAAGAATATTTTCACCGTTTTACTGTAGTTTGTTATGGTCATCTACTAAGCTTATTGTAGTGTATTATATTGCAGTGAACATCACGTGTGTGTACATTCAAGAATGGCAACTACTTTTTAAACTTGCTTCCTGTTTGAAATTGCGTAGCGAAGACCGGGAAATTATCCAGAAGCTCTTCCAGATGCGAGAGTTTAAAATTCCTTCGCAGGCATAATACTACAATGCTGAACTCACAGTAATTTACTGCATTTTACTTTATCAATCATTGATACCGTATCAATGATATCTGCAGTATTTTTATGACCACACCCTATTAATTGTTTTCATATTGGAAATTATTAATATGATTGGAATTAGAATGAACGAGGTATTATTTTTGACTGGATTGTTACTATCAAGTACTCCGATGGTAAGAAAATTAGATTTTATTGATATATTAGCAATATTTACATACTATGCTATAGAGGCGAAAGCTTAAGAATACTCAGAAGTTGTTGGTCGGGTCAAACTAAACATAATGATTTATGTGCTTTGAATCTAAGGTATTATAAGAGTTTTTTAAAAAACTATCAGATCTAATCCCTTGAATCTCTCTAAAGTGGGTGGGTTAGGTAATTATTGACTAAAAACGAGTTAAAAAATCTATAAATACATAAAAATCTTAAATATTAAAATCAGTAACATAATTGCAGCCTAACTAGAATTTTTAAACATAATAATTTCATATAACTTAAATATATTTTATTACCAGAATTATCGCCGTATAACAATCATTTCTACTAAAACTTCAATATAACCAAAAATATCTCTAATAACTTTTTAAAAAATTAAAGAATATATACATTCTTTCAAATACTGCTACCCAATAGAGTGGCTAAACACAAGGGAGGGAAAACAACACATAAAACACGGAATAAATTTTATATCAACGGAACGCTCGAAATTTAAGAACAGTACCGGCGATGCAGACGAGCAGAAAAATAAAAGGGAGGTAAGGGAAGACTACAGTAAAATGTCATTTAATAATAACGAGCTAGAATATAAAAATCTAACATTGTACGTATTATGCATTTTTTATATGTAATGCAGAAGTAAATTAATGACATATACACAAATTATGCATTGTGAAGTTATACATCCTAACATACTGCTTTTCAATCAAAAGCAACCAAACCTAACCTATTAGTAAATAAATGATAGACCTTTTCATAGTCATAATCTGAAGTGACTTGCGTTACTCGCGACCTAATTGTGTTTACTGGCCGATGAACATCAGCTTATATCTGCTTTGTTACACAAATGTATAAAATAAGCGTCTCCCTCCAACTAAAGACCACTTCTTATTAAAGGTCATTTTTCTGCTGCCCCGGTTGAATACCTATCTTTTATTATTAGAGTTATTAATTATAGAATTCATAATTATTATATTGTTATTATTATTATTATAAAAATATTGGCCAATGGACATCGTAATATGATGTTTTGTTTAAATTGAATAATGATAACGTTACGGTCGATGTGTAATATTTTAATCTAAAGATTGGTACAACGGGTATAGAACTTGATGTCGGACGCCCAATGTTTTATTAGGAATAAATAACAGTAACTGCATAATACATTATAAAACATTAAATAAGAATGACTACGTTTACTACCGGTCTTTAATTATATCAAACTTCTTTCTAAAGATAATACTTTTCGAAGACCAGAAATGGCAGAAATAATAAACATCCAAACCGTTGATGTGTGTATACATTCAACTAGAAACAAAAGCTGCTAAAGACCACTAAAACCCAAGTCTTAAAAGATAGATACGTGTATTTCCATAATTGTCCGACAGTTATAATCACAATAACCTTAATGGAATGTATATTTCTAAATGAGGCTTAAGAGACCAAACCCGCTAAAAACAAAGACATATTTTGAATCACACTCTAATCTCTGACCAACCGACGAAATATTAACATTACCTGTTTAGCGGCAATAATGTTTAAAAGATTTGGGATATTATTGATTTCTTCATAACCGCAGGGAAAGCTCTACTGGCAAGATTTGTATTTATAATAGATGTAAATACAGGCGTAATTTACCAGTTTTCATTTTTGATGAACCATGCGTTTGCTGAATCAAGAGAACACGACTTATTGCTGCTGCTAGGTAGGTAACACCTAGCATAATGCATTATACATTGGGATGACATCGAGGTAAAGAATATTTGGGTTGTTGATGATCCTCTGTTTTATATTTGGATCTTTTCAACGAAAAAAACATCAAGCTGTTGAAGAAGCGTCTTGTACCATTCTAGAGGTGGTATATTATGTTTTATTTAACAAATTGTCCAAAATTGTATACATTTTCTGTGTCATAGAGAGGCAAACTTCTTTGATATATTTTAGACTTTTCTAAATTGAAAGCCTTGGACAACTTAATATAATTAAAAGTGTGTTCTAGTGCTGCAGTAGGCCTATGCATGTCAAAAATAAGAATCATCCCAACCGGCAAAAGAACACTTATTACTATAATTATATAAAACTGATCTATGGTAGATTTGTCAGCCCCAGTCCATTGCCCTCCGGGAGTCGGAAGGCAGCCAAAGACATGTTTCTAATCACAGTTCCAAAGCCAATTTGGCACAAAGTTGCAGAAAAGAAGTGACTGGAAAACAATTATAAAATGTTCTGCAATGTCGTGTAAAAGTTTAGTATGGAGTTTGATGAAGAAATAGCCATTTGGTCCGAACTTCTCAGCGGCGAGTAGGCTTTGGGAAAACTGAGAGTACCATAAGTTTAATTGCTTCGCATCCCATTCTCATGTCAACCACTATTCTATTGATTGGCTGAGTTGAAAGCTAATTAGAAAAATAATTTACTTTGCCAGAAATGATTTTATATTTATTTAAAAAATTGCTTTAACAGTTAGTATTTATGTATTTTTACGTATATTATTTACTACTTCAAAAACTGCTTTCAATGATGGTATCAGGAATTGTATTGTAAAAATAATTTACTTTGCCAGAAATGCTTTTATATTTATCTAAAAATTGCTGTAACAGTTAGTATTTATGTATTTTTAATTATATTATTAACTGCTTCCAAAAACTACTTTCAATGATGGTATCAAGAATTGTATTCTAAAGATATTTAAAATATTAATAACGCATTCCTCATTAGATGTAAACATTGTTACTTTATTTATTGTCTCATATTTTTAATATTTCATTCCAATCTGGTAAGTTTCCAAATGCCCTAAAAATTGCAAAAATTATACCTATTTTCAAAAAAGGACAAACCTTATCAATTCACCAATTATAGACCCATAGCATTACTCCATTGTTTTTTTTAAAAAAACCAGATTATTAGCATTTTTTCCAAGTATAACATTTTACATGCCAATTCATATGGATTCAGGAAAGCACACGCTACACACCTGGCGGTGCTCCGCATCCAAGTCCTTTGAATATTGTATTTTACAAATTATCCAATTATGGTGTTAGAAGCTTGCCACTAAAACTTATAATAGATTATCTTACAGACAGACAGGGTTCTATTTTAGGTCCTCTATTTTTTTTTCATACGAATATACTTATACTCTTTTTTCTACGGTTAACAAAGAACTCAAATATGTTTCTTTATGGTTCAAATTCAATGAATTGTCTCCTAATATATCCAAAACTAATTTAATTTATTTTAATCTTGATAAGAAGTGCAATAAAGAATTGCCAAATGACATTTTTATTGATGGCTAACTGAGTTGGAAAAGCCACATTGCCAATGTTACCAAGGAAGTTTCGAGAAACGTTGGCGTACTATCCGAGTTAAAACATACATTTCCTTTCAATATATTATTTTCCCTATATAATACACATATTTTACCTTATATTATTTACTAAAACATTGCATAGGCGACAACCACTGTTAAATTTTCTCTACTGTGGCCCTGAGAAAATTCTGAAACGTCCAAAATTCATTGTCTATTCCGATTTCAAAAGAAAGCGCTCAGAATATGCATAAGTACACTTCCGAGGTCTCATTCCAAACATCTATTTTATACTCTCAATAATTAAAATATTTTTGATCCCAACAAGCTTAAGCAGTCATGTTAATGTTTTGTTTAAAAAACAGTCAGCTTCCGTCTATTTTCATACATTTTGACTAACTTCTGCCAATACCATTCATTATGATACAAGGTCTTCAACTGTCAAAAATGTTATTTATGAAAGCCATACAAATTTATTGAGAAGGACATCTTTGATTTACAATGGGCCATATTTATGGAACAATTTACTATTTAACCTTAAGTTAATACACTCTTTCAAATTGTTTAAAAAAATTAAAACTGTTGATTCATTTGTATGCATTTGTAGTGGATAAACTTTTAAGAATATCATTATTCTTCATTATATTCCTTGTCTTCCTGATTATTATTATTATTATGTGTGGTTAAATTGTATACAGAAGATCGTATAAAAACCTTGAAGTTGTTTATTAGTGCTGGTGGCCCAACACCTAAGAAGTACTGAGATCAGTGGACCTGAATTTCTTGTTTTGGGTGACACTCAGCTGAGGGAGGTGCCAAAGAAAATGTAAATAATATAAATATTGTAAATAAATGTTCATTACACAAATTCACAAAGTATTGTAAAGAAGATTGATAAACTTAAACCTGATATCAAACTCTGCAAGCCTCATATTATTGGCATTACCGAAACATGGGAAAAGTAACCAGTTACAGATGGTCTGCTTTCTATTCATAATTACGACACTATTGGTTGGAGTTACCGAAGCCCAGTAGCTCTAGACAAAACAACCGAGTCCTGAATATTCTAACTGAAGAATCCATGAAACAAAATGTGACTAACCAACTCTTGATGGGCGACTTTAATTGTCCCTAGATCAAGTGGAAGGAACATAGAGTGGAGTCTTAATTCTTAAATTGAGATGATGCTTAACGTTTTTAATGAAACAACCCAAGATGTGTTTTTGCATCAGCGTGTAACTGAGACAACACGACACAAGAAAGGCCATCAAAGCATGATTTGGTATTAACAAATGAGGAGAATTATATTGAAGAGGTACAGCATTCAGCCCAACCTGGAAAAGAGACCACGATGTATTGTTGTTTGAGTATACCTGTTCAAGGAATCTTATTGGGAATGATGAGAAACAACAAACAATTACGCAAAAGATGATTATGAGAAACTGAATGATTCACTTGGAAAACTTGACTGGCAGGCTCTGCTTAAAGATAAAGTTTTAACCAGGCATTGGAAATTTTTTTAGAAATACACAATGAACGAGACAGAAAAATTATATACCAACGAGAAAGGATAGAAAACCTGTATGGCTGAACATAAAAAAAAGTATTAAGAAGAAACACGAATTATATGAAAGTACAGACAGACAAACCAGTACAAGAATTGCTTTCAGTATAAAAGAAAAACCAGAGAAATATCGCAAGAACAAACATGAGAAAAGCACGTATAGAACATAAGAGAAAGCTAATGAAGAATTTCAAGCGTAATCCTAAGCCAATGCACAAGTATTAGGGAACAACAAAAGGTAGAGACGGTATAACAAATCCAGTAAAGGTAGATGAGAGTTTGACCGAAAATGACTAGAAAGCAGTGAAATTTTGAAAAGGTTTTTTCATCTGCATATACCCAGGAATCTGATTGTGACCTACTTAAGTTTAATAGCAGAAACAGGAACAACACTTTTGGAAATATTGTATATATATTTTTTAGTAGATGTTTAGAGGAAAGTTAAGCAACAGCAACCAAGCAAAGCTCTTTGCCCAGATTGTGTCCATCCTATGGTTGTAAATCAATGCGCAGATTCACTAGCTCATTCTTTGACTATCATTTTCAAGCTTTCACTCGAGACAGTGGAATACTGGAAGGACTGCAAATGTTACACTAATGTTTAAGAAAGGATTAAATAAAAGCTGAAAACTATCGACCTGTCAGTCTAACATCAATACCATATAACGTTTTTGAATCCATACCTTGATTATATGAAGGCATTTGACAGTGTCCTGCATCGAAGATTATAATCTGGATAATAGAATTTTTAACAGGAAGAATACAGAAAGTAGTTGTGAATATATATAAATACATCCAAGCCTGTAAATGTAGTGAGTAGAGTTCCACATGGATCGGCCCTGGACCAATTATATTTATCCTGTACATAAACGAACTTAGATAAAATCGCCAACGCAGAATTCAACATGGTTGCTAATAATGCAAAAATTATAAAGACCATCAAAGATAATTTTGATTCAAGAAGACTTTAACATGATCTTTACAGGGCACAGGAATGGTCAGAGGACTAGCTGCTAAAATTTAATGCAAAGAAATGTAAAGATTTTCATGTTGGCAGAAAGGCAGAGGAATCCGAATTCCACCTCAACGGAGAAACATTGTTTCCAGTGAATGAAGAAAAATATCTTGGCGTCTTTTTCACAAGTGATTGCAAGCCAAGTCGGCAGTGTGCTACAGCTGCATATAGAGGAATGACTAGTATGAGAACTATCAAAAGAACATTTAAAAACATGGACAAAGAAAGCTTTCAGGTCATGTACAAGAAATATATGCATCCACATTTGGAATATTTTATTCAGTCCTGGTCCCCATATTATAACAAAGACAAAGAAATATTGGAGAAGGTGCAGAGAAGAGCCACAAAGATGGTCAAGGAAATAAGATATGTACCATTTATAAAAAAAAGGCAAGAATATCTTGATCTTCAACCATTAGTTACGAAAGGCTATTAGGGGATTTATTTGAAGCTTTTAAATTTTGGAAAGGCTTTAAGGATATTGATCCAGAAGATTTCTTTAAATTATCTCATAACATCAGAACCAGGGGACACAACATTTTAAACTATATTGCCTGTGCAGGGTAAATTTTTGACCATAAGATAATCAATTACTGGAATGGCCTGCCAGAGCATGTAATACAAGCCTCTTCAGTTAACATCTTTAAGATCAGACTTGACAAATTTTTAAGGCATAAACTTGAGTGTAAGTGCAAGAGGATCGATAAATCTAATATTCCAAACATATTTAACATTATCCAGCATTGGATTTTTATCCTTTTGTATTTTAAAATAACTTTTTATAAACCTAAATATAAATTCATTAAAATAGATCATCATGAATAAGATTGCAACATCAGGTGAAAAAAAAAATATAATAAAAGGTAACATATAAATAATACATTTCTGGGTATTTTAAATTCTATACAATTTGAAAAAGGAACCACATCTCAGGTGCCAAGATATGAGAACCCTACATTTCCACACTAATTTGCATTCTAATGGGACATGCAACTGGGCTGTGATTGCTGAAGTTTTGTTATCTCATGTGTTCAATTAAACAAGAAAAACATTTGTTATTATATGTGCTACTTCAAATGTTAGAAATAACCAAAAATCACCTCCAAAATGCATGGAATGTGCCATCTGGTCAGTTGCGTTTATGTCCTTGGCTTTCTAGCCAGGCCCCGCCCCTTTGCACAAACTGTGAATTCTGGCTTTTGTATTCACACGTAATCTCAGTAATTGTTAGTTTTTCACCAATCAGCAGAAAGTCTCACTACTCAAAACATATAAGCCTTTCACTGTTTTGGAATTTCTGCAGATATTATTCTCCTGAATACGATTAAAGCAACTCAGTAACAACAGTTCTTTTTAGAACTATCTACGTGGTGTACTACAAGCATTAATATGTATTATTATATCGTCATGCAAACCTTCAAACAATATTATTGACATTATTTTTTATATAATTGATAATAATAATATTATTATATTATTATTATAAATTATTAATTAAATGGCTGAATTTATTTATAATTGATTGACTGAATGAATGCCTTATTACTGTACCTGTTGGTTGATTGATTTATTTATTAATAAATTGATTTGTTCGTTTTTGTTTCAAATCTATACACTAAACAAATCGATGATACTAGGTTGTTATCTCAATCATTCGTTCGTTTGCCGTTCGTTTATTCATATGCACGGTTAGATAAAAAACAGGTTGGTTTTCATTCCAAGAATATTTATATCTCTAGCCGTATAACAGGTTGGTTTTCATTCCAAGAATATTTATATCTCTAGCCGTATACTATAGAGTCATACATATAACGTTCTTCTGACTCATTGGTCATCGTAGTCAAAACACACATTTCATACTGCAATTCAGCAATTTAAGTTTGTCCCAATGGATTATATCTTTCTTACAGGAAAAATTACAACAAAATGGCTTGGTGACATAACAGTATTGAAGCTGAATTAGAAGCTCTAAATTAACAACGATTCTCCTAGTAAGCACTGGATGTGGCGAATCGCACGGTATAGACCCAGCCCAAACCATGGGCCTAGACTCAATAAAAAACATCCCAAACTCTTCATATTCTAAATGGAAATGTAAATCAAATCAACATTACTCAGCAATTACTCATGTACAGTGACGGACCGTCAAGGCAAGCAAGATATGCTTTGCATACCCAAGTATAAAACAAGCATAAAATATTTTTAATTGTGCTTTTTCTTCATTTTATTTAGTATTTCTTGGCAAAAATTGTCCATACAAATGTTGATTGATGTTTTTAGTTGATTGCTACATTTCATTGGAATTTCTAAGTTTTATTAGTGTTTCAATCTTCAGGCATTTTTGTATCCTAGGATAGCCGGCCTATTTCGTCGTGATGTACTCTCGGCTGCTAAGAATTTCCGCCTGGTTAGTTTTGTACCTATCAACGCCTGTGAGCCAAACCAAAAATGAAACCAAATACAAACAATTTCGCAACAAATTAAATTCACTTACTAAAATTACCAAAGCTACCTACTACAAAAATTTATTTCTCAAACACAAAAATGATATCAAGTCTACTTGAAATACTATAAATTTGCTGATAAAAAAATACAAAAAACCCAATAACCAAACAAATCCCTATTTTAATTGTAACAAACTAACGATCCCGCAACAATTGCATCTGCATTTAATGACTACTTCGTTGAAATCGGAACCTCTTTAGCTAAAAAAAATTCCCCAAGTTAACAAATCCTTCTTCTGTTCCTTTTATATATTAATGATGTTCACTTGTCTTCCCATCTTCTTTCTTTTTTTCTTTATGCTGATGACATCACTATCCTATATTTTAACAAAAATATCCATTCTTTATTCAACATTGTTAACTTTAATTTAATTTCCACTTCCCAATACTTTTCTGCCAACAAACTTGCAATTAATCACGAGAAGTGTAGCTTCATTCTGTTTCGAAGTCTCCAAAAATCACAAACTCTCGATCCTTCGAATTTCAAAATCTATATTGATAATCACGAAATTCCCAATACCGAATTTGCTAAGTTCCTAGGAGTTTATCTTGACAGTGCATTAATGTTCTTCGTATTCTTTATTGCTCTCTTATTCTCCCCTATCTGAGCTACTGCAACATTGTTTGGGGAAACACCTACTCATCCAACTTAAGCAAACTTCAGATCATTCAAAAGAAGGCTATAAGGATTATATCTGGAGTTCCACCATGGTCTCATTTTTCTTCTTTATTTTCTAATCTCAATCTTCAATCTTAAATTCGCCGACATTAATTCCCTTCAGTAAGGTCTTTTTATGTACTTCTCCTACCATGGTCTCTTACCTTTTCACTTCGGTAACACTTTTAAATCCAATTATTCCTTTCACAATTACAGCACACGTAACTGCGCTAATATCGGTATACCCAACCATAGAACCAATTACTTCCAGCACAACATCAGATTTTCGGGCCCCAAACTTTGGAATTCGTTACCCTTACACTTGATAAATGCATCTTCCATTAAAATGTTTACTAACCAATTCAAAAAACTCTTAACTTCTGACTACTAATTTTTTTAATTTATTCAATCTCCTCCATCTCCACTTGGTTGCTACCTTTCGCGCGGTCTGTCGGTCTGTCTTCGACTTGTTTTGAATGTATTGTTTTTTGTCCCTTTCTGCCCTGTTTTGTCTTTTTGTCTCTTTTGTTAATCTAATTTTTTTTCCTCTCATTTCAGGCTGTGCCTCCACAAGATTGGTTTTCTTATCTACTCGGGTTCTTGCCTTCTTCCTCTCCTGCATTTTCAATTTATTTTAAATCAATTGTAATATATTTGTCTGATTCAAAAAGGAAGTAAATAAATGTTGAATTGAATTGAATTGAAAATAGTGGGTGACATCAGAATAGCAAATTTAACACTGGTTTGGAAGCACTGCTTCCAAGAGTATTGTGTACATGTTCCTCTCCTCACTGCTACGGGGCATGCACTGCCGAATGAGTTATTTGTATTTTCCGACATTCTAAAACTTCAATGACTAAAGTTAAACGAATCTACATGCAGACAACCGCGGGTAGAGAAAAAAAAAACATGTATAAATTTACTTGAGACTAATTGTTAAACATAGGTCTACTGAATTAAATAATCAGTTGAGAAGAACCTACAACCATGCAGATATAAAAGATACATACTGTACTGTATTTATTCGAATGAACGCCCCATAAAGATTATTGTTGAAAAGGGGTTTTGTTGGGCGTTTATTCGATGGAGGCTTTTATTCTATGTAAGCGTTTATCATTTTTTTTGTGTAAAAGGGAATACTCAAATAAACTTCACTGTAAATATTGAACTACAAACAACACATAATTGCTATTAAAAATGTGTTATTGCGTGATCGTAAAGACTTCATTATACCGACAAGGTTAAAAAATATAATTCTATTGGATTAAAACATTAAAAGAACGTATTGAAAACAATATTGCTTCCATTATTGTTGTTTACTCTTATTATTGTTATTTTATTTTATTTTTTTTTTAATCGAGGAAAACAATAAACGCCGCGTGGTGTTTATTCGGGGCGTTGCGTTTATTCTAAATGTGGGTCTGGAGGAGGAATTTGTATATTAACTTTATAGAACGCAATCTTTGCCTGTAGGCTAATATATGGATCTTTCCACTAGCAGCCCCTAGCATACCTACATTTTACCCTACGGTCCACCGCTGCTAATGAATCCATGAATCATTCAAAATGTATACGTTGATATAAAAAACATATTTTATGCCACAGTAACTTTATTACATTTTAGATAATATACACTACTTTCGACTCCAATCAATTCATAAGCATGGGACTTTGAGGAATGTTATGTTTTTCGTACCCACTAACCAATATGTTTGTGACGTAACAGCTTTTCACTTATTCTGTCTATTTTATATTTTCAGCTTCATTTCCTTTGGCATCTCATTGGAACCAATCTCGATTTAATTTCGCGTCGATATTAAACAATGTGTACGCATATTGAAAAGTTAGAAAGCTGTATACATACGGTATACAACTAATATACAAATTGTATATCAAAATGCTGTCTACCGTATATGAGGATAAGTTACCGTACAGTGATATAACTACACAAACTTAGTTCATCTTCAGAGTAATAAGTGGTCATTTGTATTGGTGACACAGGCATACCTGTCTTCTACCAAGACTTCATCAACAATCTGTAAAGCAAATTGTTAAGATAATATAAAAATAAGGACATTTCCTTGACATAATGTTAAATAGTCAATATAGAATTGGAAATAATTGTGTTTGTTATTCAAATAGAACAAAGTCAAAGGCTCATGGAGATTACGTATTTCATCTATATTTTACGAAATAATGTTGTGATATATCGTTATTTCTGTCTCTCTGTATTAAAATACCGCAATTGTATATTTGGTAAGTTTTGACTTGAGATTAAAATGATGTTGTAATGGTAAAAATCAACAGGAAGTAGTCATATTATGGCTGCTCCCAGAAAAAAAAATCTGAAAATCTTTTTTTGTTGACATAACAAATAAGTTTAAAGCACTTACATTTTATGTTTTATTTATTTAATCATTAGCTCATTTTAATTTATTCTATTATGTATGAATTACGGTGCAATAATAAAGCCAGTGCTAAATGATGCTATAGGCATATTAGCGGAGGGATTGCCAGATGAGATTTTTGGGCATTCACAATGTATAATTTTAGACCACAATATTAGGGAATGGCAACCGCAACTTGATTGGATTTAAAGATTACCGTACTCGCGCGAATAAGCGCCCCGTTTGAATAATCCAATCAATCCTGGGACTGTGGATGTTGGCATGATTTGAGGTGTGTAGTGGAATCACATTCCCCTTTAGTCAATATCAACATGAGGATATTTATCTTTGACAGATGAGAGCTCCCTGGACAGACAGTACATTTCCAACATTCATTTTCTTACATATTTTGTCTATAGCCTAGTCCTACTCTTTTTCCGACAATTTATACCTTTAAAACATTCTCATCATTTCAAGAAAACCTGCAATGATCATGCCGTCCTGCTAATCTCAATCGGCCAATGGCCAACAAGCTAACTACCACAACTAATTTCATCTGCTATTCTGCTGTTATGTAATACTGTACCCATAACATTCTTGTCATGACAAGCCATGCTCTCTGGACGATTAATTTGCGGTTTCCTGATGTCCTTATATAATCGTTTTTCATTCAAAATGTGCCTCTCGAATTTAATAAGTTCTCATAAGAACCCCTCGATTTTCATCTACTTCCATAAGTGCTCCCTCAATTTCCACTCTGTTTTCATAAGCGCCCCATTCGAATAAGCGCCCCTCAAAAAGTGCAAAAAATATTTTAAGCGCCCTGGCGCTTATTCGCGCGAGTATGATAGTTTAGTCTCACGACCTCGTCGTGGCGACGAAAGATGGTGGAGGATGTCCAGGTTTGTAAATGGGTGTGTTGCTCAACAAAATTAGCCATTACAGTGCGATGAAAAGCAACGATAAATAGATTAAATCCAAACATTTTTATTGATATACATTACTACCAGAACAGCTGCTTTCTAGTCCCTGGAGTTCGATTGCAGGATCGCTTGCTTTCTGGAAGTATTATGCCTACTAGGCCTATTATAAAACTAAAAATAGCATAGCGACCTAAATTAGATTCTACCAAATCAAAACTGCTGATTTTTCCACGGGCTTTTATCGCTGTTGCACGATGACCGGGGGAATTTTTTCGGTTTGATTCCAGATTGAATTCACTTCACTTTAGTCTGCATTAGTTTCTTCATCACTCTCAAACATGCCAACACCTACATCATCATCATTACCGTTCATCATCATCGTCGACGTCATCGCCATCGACATCATCATCGTCATCATTATTGTCATCGTAGTCATTATCACCTTCATCATAACCGTTATTGTTATCATCATCCCCTCATCGTAATTATGATCATCATTAATTCACATTTTTTTCTGGGCATCAAGGTAAACAAGGTTTAAAGATGTATTGCCTCTTGAAAATGACCAAAAAAAATAAAAACAATTTTGAAATTAACTTGTTCATTTTGCATTAGCATACATATTTTTAACTTGAGCAAAAAAATTATTGAATTTTAAAAATGTGTACCCTGATTATTAAACTGGATAATTATAATAAAAGTAATAAAAAAAAAACTTCCATTGACTGGAAGTGTTTTTCTTTGTAAAATGACGGGTAAACTTTCTGTAAATACACTAATGTTTATGTTCAAGTTGATAATGTTACTTAAAAATTGGCAAGTTAATTTTAAAAATGATTCAGCGGCATTGTGCTCCTCTCCACTCACTAACTGGATCACCCTAATGTTAGTACTCTGTTATTTATTTACTACCAGGGTAGATCTCTCCATCGAAGTATACGTGTATGGTCTGTCTGCATGAATATACCGAAAGTTGACTAAATTTATTGTGTAATCGAAGGCCTACCAGTAGCAAACACAGCACTTAACTTATTAATTTTTTTTTTTACAATTCTAGTGATAGTATATAACTTCAAGAGCGTGATCAATAACTTATTAATGTTCCAGGCTGAACTTTGCAAGAAAATTTAATTAAACTCGTACGAGTAGTACATTCATAACATGTAGGCTGCAAGTCCATTTGTGTGGAAAATAGTATCCTGTGTTTTATTTATTGCATATTGTGTATATTTCATAGCTGAATACCCTCCACATCGTGTAAATACAATTACAGTATGTTATAGTCATTTTTGGTTTATGCATTATATATATATTCATGTTTCTTGCTCTTCTGGAGAAATAAGCAACTCACTTTATCTACTTATGGCAATGATAAGGAATTAAATTTTTAACAATATTATTTTCTACAGCTTTACCAGCTGTTATTTCATGGCATCCAGGGGTGCCATATTTCCAACATAGACTCTCTCATGCTAACTTTATATATTGTGGCAGCCCCTTGAGGGGAAGGGAAAGCGGCTCTAGGTTGCCAGCATCTATTTTCGGACATTCATAGGCGCGACAAGTTGTTTACTAACCATGGTGGGGCTAGAGTTGATATGATAATTATGCTGTCAGACCTCAACTAACTTCAAAATCGTGTAGCTGTGGAGAGAGATAGTGGGTCTCTACTCTTCATTTACAACCAAATTTGTCAAGTGCTCATACTATCCCCCCCCCCTGCACCACCCCTCACTATAATGGCCGTACCACTTGCAAAATGCTTCCGACGACTATGAATAAAAAGTTAAAAGTAAAAAAAGACAATTAACCTGTCCTAGTGTTGTGCAATATCATCAAATCTATATTGTATTCTCTAGGTGGCTTTTCTTGCATTAGTACAAAAACCATTGTGTTTGTTCTGATTTTTTGTTTTTCTATCCCGTTTTGCTATGTTTTCTTAGGGTTTCTCTGTCCAGCACTTTGGTAACTTTCCGTTCTTCGATCTTTTAAAATTTTGTCCAAGCAGACATATATTAAAGGTGTGCATATTAAAATATGACCTCATCCTACATATTCTAAATGTTAATAAACGAGTAACTGAACGCTTATGCTAACTCAATTTTTAAGCGTTTGTTGAGCTCAAAACTACTACCTTTAAATGCATGAACAATTTTCACCCTAGACTTAAAGAATTACGCAAGGTAGACAATCTAAAAAAAACACTGAGATCCACAGAGACGGGGTGTTTTTTTTTTAGCGTATAGCATAACTCTCACATCATCCTCGCTATTACCATTGCGGCCATAGTTCGAGTCTCCCCGACGCCATAATTGGTTGTCATGGGTTTTTTTCACTTTATAGTTTTCTTCAGTGATTTTTTTTTTCTGTTTTTAATGTATTTTTTACTCTATTTTTTTATGTTTTTTTAATTTGTTTATTTTTAATTTTTGTAATTTCTACATTACTTCGCTTTATGTCAATTGGGAAAAACTATGTTCAAATATAGAAACAGACATAGTAAGTCTAGATTTATTGATCATTATACTTATTGTTGTATTTTGATACGATAATACTGTGTCATAATTTAAACCTAAATTTGTAACTGAGTATTTTATATAAAAACCACTTTATTCATTAGGACATACAAATACACAGAATGGAATAAAGAATAAAAAAATATTTACAGATTTAAGTCAAGTCTAGATTACAGAAAAGCAAGGCAAACAATTACAAAATGCGATAAGAACATTAAAAAAGTACAAAATAAAAAAAAAACTGAAAAAATACTCTTCACCCTATAGGTCAAATTTCATAAGTCAAAGGCTCAAAATGCTATTAGTGGCAAACGATTG